GTACACATAACTCTCGGATAAAATCCGAGGTTTCCGCATTTATTTTTCCTTAAATTCAATTAATATTTTTATTTAAAAATAGGTCATGGTATTCCTTTATTAAAAAAATATATAACAACTGAATTATGGAAATTGATTATCGACATGAAAATTTTACGAAATTATCGTGTTACAATTGATATTGATCATAATCAACAACATCAATTTCAAATTCAACAATTATCATCAACATTTCATAGTAAAATAATCAATTATAATGTAAAATAATTAAATATGTTTTTTTTATGGGAAGGTTCTCGTATTCATAAACGATTAAATCAACGATCAACACTAAAAACTGATAATATATTTAATGATAATGATGATGATAAAGATTTCTGTGGACCCTCATCAAAATGCAAAAGAAAACGATAAAAAGAAAAAAGTTACGTCATCTAATTATTGGTTATGTTTTCTTATTCTATTTTCTTCTCTCACAACATGTTTTTTCTTTAGTTTGAAATATAATAACTCATTAGATGTATCACATATTCTTCTTTTTTTGTTCGTGTATATATATATATACAGAGTGGCACAAAAGTCGGTTTACCGAAAACAACAGAATATCTCCGTTATGGCTCAAGCAGACGAGCTGAATTTTTTACCAATGATAGAGGCATATTCAAAGTTTATATCCACAAAGACATGCCTAGAGAGACTCTTTGTTAAGTATCACTATTGACCTCAAGAAGAAAAATTTTACTTTTTCACAGATAGAAAAAACAACAATATACTTAACAGAGGATCTCTCTAGGCATGTCTTTATGAATATAAAGCTTGAACATGTCTTTATTATTGATAAAAGAATCAGCTCGTTAGCTCGAGCCGTAGCGGAGATATTCAATTTTTTCGGCCAAGTGACTTTTTTTTCTAACTGTGAAAACGTAAATTTTTCTTGTTGAGACCAATAGTGACACTTAACAAAGGATCTCCCTAGACATGTCTTTATGGATATAAACTTGGTGCATGCCTCTATCACTGATAAAAAAATCAGCACGTTTGCTCGAGCCGTAATGGAGATATTCAATTTTCTTAAGTGATACGGACTTTTGGGACACCCTGTAATAGCTAATTATATGATAGAATCAAATGAAACTTGTGAAACTACGGTCATTATGAATAGGTAAAATACTATTCGCTTTCTAACACCCTTCTTCGTATATAATCATTTTCGTGAAAAAAAAAGAGTTTTATCCAAAGTTGTTTCTCATATAATAAAGATTGGATGTATTTAGATAATAATCTAGGATAAATCAAGAGATGAAGTTCATCTACAATAGTAAATACAATAAATGACTAACGAGTCATTCGATTCTTTTTTTTTCTTTTAATTTCTTCATTGTATATTTATGTGAAAAGAATGTATAGTGACTTTATTCAAACAGAGTTTAATATTAAGTTTATCAAATAATTATTATAAATAGGATCTTTTTTATCTTGAGAATATTTATATTAAAATGCTCTTAGAAATATAAGAAGAGGAACAATTCCTCTACTTTTTCCAGTTAATAGTAGAGTTGCACAGATATTTCCATTATATAAAATATAGTCAATCTACTACAGAAATCTCATGTAGTTTCTTTATTAAAAAAGAATAATTTATTTTCATCTAATTATATTTCGATTTCTCGTGATTGTTAATAGAAATTTTAAAAGATTTAAACTAAGACGTACTTGTAATCAATAACCGATAATAAACTTGAATAATAATATGAAGAAGTCAAAGAATAACAACAACAGCAACCAATAAAAGATAAAAATAAATAATATGTAAATATGTATCATTTGCAAACAATGTTGATCTCTTAATCAGATTAAAATCTATACATAGAAATATAGCTTACACGAAAAACTACTATGAATGGACAAGCATGAGAAAAAACTTATTTTATCTCTAATAAATATTTTTTTTTTTTATTTCACAAATCAGAAGATCGCTCAATCTAGAAGTAGCTGCCTAATTCGAGTTCGAACATAAATGGAAACTTCGGCTGTACACCTCCTTTTTCATAGGCGAAGCAAAAGATAAGATTTCACTCGGATTCTAATTTCTAATTCGAACGCGGTACCTATATAAGTGCGAGGAAAAAGGAAAAGATAAAATATATCCTAATTATAAATTGATAATTCGAATTGAGGTATCCACATAATTCTGGGAAAAAAAAGAAAGGAATAATCTTGTATGTAATTCGAATGTATATTTTGGTATAACATGAAGCTTGAAACTTGAAGTCGATTGAAGTCTTAAGTTTCAAGTTTGAAAGTTGAAACTTAAACTTTCAACTTTTAACGCTTCCGCGATTGCTGCGAATCTTCTCTGGGATAGTAGAGGTGTTATCGGCAATGCCGTAATTATCTTCTGGAATGTTACAGGTGTTAGCTGCTATGCTAAAGATAGGATATGGAATCTCGCACGTAATACGTGCAATGGTTTAAGTGTACACAGGAATGCTAGAGATTGTACCACGACTGCTGCTGTTGTCACCTATGTTGCTACAGGTGTTACATAGGATATGACAGATTTTGTCTGGAATGCTATAGATATTACTTGGAATGCTAAAATCGTGCCATTTTATACAAGAGGCCCTTCAACGAATCCAGCCGATAATAGCCTCCGGGTGCTACAAGTTTTATGTGGAGTGCTGCATGTAGAATCTAAAATGGTACAGCAACCAGCTGAGATGCTGGAGATACGGTGGGTGATGTGCCAAGTATTGTCTAGGACACTGTAGGTATATCCTGTGCTGCTACAGATAGCACCTAGGATGCTACAGGTGTTATGAATTGTGCTGCAAATGTTACCTAGAATGTTACAGGTATTGCTTGAGACGCTACAAGTACGTCCTGGAACGCTATATACTTAGGGCAATCCAAAAGTAGTGTCGTCAAGGTTTTATTTCCTTATAGTAAGTAAAAAAAATTTTCTTTTTTTATGAATAGATAGAGCGTCTTTCACTCTATCTTTTTATGCTATTTGATCGATCTTCACTCAATATTAGAATAAAAAAATCTTGGTAAGAACTGTTTTTGTTGGAAGCTGGCTGGTGGCATTAGATAGCAAAAAGACCTATAACAGATGGCAGAACTTTATATTCCATAGTTTAATTCCTAAAGATATTTTATTAAAAAAACTAAATATACCACAAGATGCAGCGTGAAAAGCTCTACAACCTACAAAGTACAGCTTATTTTAAAATATGCTTTTTCTTTTCAAAAAAAAAACAAAACATCTTTGTGAACCACTTGAACACTACGAAAAAAAAGAAATTTTTCGTGTATCAAAAAATGATTTCCTTCATAGTGTGAAAGGTAGTTCACGTAGATTTTTTGGTTTTTTAAAAAGAAAAAGCATATTTTAAAATAAGCTGTACTTTGTAGATTGTAGAGCTTTTCACGCTGCATCTTGTGGTACATTTAGTTTTTTTAATAAAATATCTTTAGGAATTAAACTATGAAATATAAAGTTCTACCATCTGTTATAGGTCTTTTTACTATCTAATGCCACCAGCTAGCTTCCAACAAAAACAGTTCTTACCAAGATTTTTTTATTCTAATATTGAGTGAAGATCGATCAAATAGCATAAAAAGATAGAGTGAAAGACGCTCTATCTATTCATGAAAAAAGAAAATTTTTTTTACTTACTATAAGGAAATAAAACCTTGACGACACTACTTTTGGATTGCCCTAAGTATGTTGCTTGTGATGCCATAGATGCTACCTAGTATTGTTCAGGTCTTACGTGGTATGATACCGAGATTTGCGGCACGCGAGAAAAAGTCCATGAGATGCTCGAATCATAACCGAACGGTAGCGTTTGTTACTGAAGGGTTCCATGGCGAGATAGCTTCGGAAGAGACGTGGCTAGCGTGGCTGAAATATCACATATGGATTACTGCGTACACAGAGACGAGTGTGGGTCTCAACTCTTCAGGGAGCGCTTTGCACCTCACGGCGCGGCGCTGAAATGAATAGTTGGTTACGCGTAGAAAGACGCTTCCCCCAATGAATATTCGCAAAATAATTGAATAGTTGAATTCAACTTTTAAGTTTTACTCGTACGGCACCGACAGAGATACAGCGTAAGCCCCCCCCCCCTTTGCGGCATCCAAATCCACAGAGATGCAGTGTAAATTCTTTCGGGGTGCCTACATTGAGAGTCGTGCGGTATAAGTCTCTTCCGGGCATCCACATCAACAGAGATGCAGATTGCATCCTTTTCTGCTTGAAACTCGAAAATTGAAATTTCAATCAAATTCAAGTTTCAACTTCAACATATAAAATACATTCCAAGCCATGGCTCTGTGAAATAGCAAAATGCAACAGATTTACTTATATATAATTGGAATTTAGTAATTCGTAGGCACAGGCATGCTTAAATATGAAAGACACTAAACTAGAAAATCTATATAATGCATTAATATTATTTCAAGTTTTACTTCTCTCATCACTGTGTACACAGAGACGAGCATAGGTCGCGGCTCTGCATGGGACGTTTCGTGTCCACACGCTGCGACGCTGAAATAAAAAGTCATGTTAACGGGGAAAAGCCTTTCGTGGCAGATGGGCATTACGTGCGTGGCACTACGGTTGCCCCTACCATTAATCTAATTAGAGTGAGTACATGGCAGCGTGTTATCCTTCTGGTAGCAGTGTATTTCATATTGACATATATCCGTGCTGTATGGTTCGAAGAGCCACAGGAACATGCTACCTGATGTACCCGAAAGCGTGTCGGACTCATCTCAGACCATGCTTCTGGAATCACAGATGATGCTTCGAGGGTATCATATGCTGCGTCCAGTACACCAGAT